GTGTGAGATGTAAAACCTCGTGCTGGTGCTTTGGTGCAAGCACTAGACAAACACCTTCAAAGGATGGCCTCTCTAGGTCTCCAACCTCGGGTGGCGAGTGAAGAGGGGGGATAGGGAGCTCGGCGTTATTCTCAAGGGGGCGTTCGAGATCGTGTCGCTGAGCTGCCTGTAAGAGGCGGATCCTGCCATCAAGCTCCTCAAGGTCTGTTCGATCAACTCCAATTGAAGCACCACTACTTAAGCCCTCAGGTTGCAGACTAGCCAAATGCTCGGCCCCTTGGATGGCATCCTGCCACTGCTGCGGTGCCGCCCACACTTGTTGAGGAAAGCAACTAAAGGCTAGCCAGCTTAGTGGATTCCAAAAGCTGAAGGAGTAGCTGGAATGATGAGCCAATCGGCGGCGACCGGCCTGTGCCTTCCGCATACATCCCATTCTGAGGTGCTGGCAAGTGTGGTGGACAGAAAACGCAGAGACCGGCAGCAGAAAACTCCGGGGAAGGCCCCTGGAAGGCATGGCTATCACCTGACCAAGAGGAGTGTGCTGGACACGGAAGGGCCATACCAGGAGGCGCAGAAGCGCACACAGAACCAGTAGCGCAAAGTGGGTGCAGAACGTGCAGGTGAGGTTTGCAATCCACTGACAACCGAAAGAAAGGGGGAGACCAGGTCTATCGGGAAAGTCCTCAGGCCATGCGGCAGCTGGTGCATGGAGGAGGCATTGCCGGTGGGGATTGCGTTCAAAATCCCCGGCGATGGAGGGAATTCCTGACCAACAAACACAGGCACAGTGGAAGTTAGCCGGTTGTCCTTGGTCACAGCATGTCCCAAGAGAGGAACGCGAAAGCGCAGATGCAACAAAGCAAGGTCTTGGAGAAGGGCCAAAAGGCACTGAGGCGCTGCAAAACTGGCCCGGGCCTATGGGCCCTCCGCGAAGAAGCTGCGTGGAGAACTGTGAGTTGCAGGTGAACGTCCCAGAGCCACCGATACGTTTCTTTGGCACACTGCTTATCTCACATCTCCACGGTAGTGTGCAAGCCTCAACCACACGGGAGGCGGGCGGGGGAGGGCAACCAAGCACAAAAATACAATGTGCCGGCTGTCCTCGCGAGGAAGAAGACTGACAAGGAATCGCTCGTTCAAACAAACCCAGTAAGAACGTAACGGTTCTTGCCAGAGAGGGGGACACGTAGCTGGATAACTGGCACGAACAACAGGAAAGGCACAGACGAACCCAGTCTTCAGCTTGTGTCGGATGGGAGCCAGTGCACTGGCTACCACGGAAAATCTTTCCATACCAAATTGTGCAGGTGTGAGACCATATGGCTCGCAGATTTATCCCTGCCACCGCGCCAAGGGCAAGGGGAGCACCGATCCGGAGCTTGTGCACAGGAGTTTTCCCCAGTGAAAACTCGTGTGCAGCGGGCCGGTCCAGTGTCCCTAGCCGATCGCTCAGTGGCCGCGATTCTCTAGAGCCATATCTACCCGCAGGTGTCACTCCAGTCTCGCGAGGCCCGGGGAGTTCACCGTCATGTGCATAGAAGGGTCGTCTTCTTCCGAGAGGACCTGCTGCTGGCCAGATTGGTCGGCCTCTGTACCGAGCTTTGGGCCTTCTGCCTCCCTGTGCCCGGCCGAAAGCCTGAAAGGGTGGAGAGCAGTGCCAACCCTCTCTGCCTCTCTGCGCTGTTCGAGTTTCTCCTGGAGGGACAAGCCTGAGGGATCGGGCTTCGCTGGCTGATGCTTCGTGGCAGCTTTGACATCTGTCCTCAGAACAGAACGGGAAGGTCGTTGGTCCGTAGCTGACGGCGAAGGCTCGTGATGCTCTGCACCAAGAGAAGACTCTACAGTCTTTGTAGGGACAGGAGACGAGGTAGGGTACGGTGCCGATCTGTGTGGCCCCGTTAATGGGGAAGCAGCACCGTAGGTGGGCACAGGTTGCTCCGGCCCATTCACGCCAAGGCCATCGAATGGCTTTCGCTCCTCTCCATTTCCATCCGACGGCATGCCAGGAGGTGCCACACATCCAGGCCACGAAGGTGCTCCCTCGGTGGATAAAGGCCCAGGTGAGGGCACTGGGGCCTGCACCAATCGGCCGCTCCGATAGAGTCGCAGGATCTCGGCCATATCTGGGTCCATGGCCTGGGGCTCCACTGTATCCGAAGACTCGGAATACTTCTGGATCATCGTCGCCCAATCCTCCGCAGAGGTGTCTTGAACATCCATGCGCGTTCGCCCCATGAGCCCTTGTGCTGTGTGGGCCATATTCTCCCGCGCCACCTGGAGCAGCTTGTGAGCCTCTTCCAGTTCGACGACCAGCTGGGACTGACGCTCGTTGTGTCTCTTGCGCTCCTCCATGAAGGCCGTCATGAGCTCTTTCTCGTAGTCTGTAAAGCGCTCCGCTTTCTCCTTCTGTTCCTTCTGTATGCGCATGACTTTGGCTTCGGCCTTCCTGAGGACGTTCACGGCTTGCTGCGCGCTCTTGGCTGTAATCGCCTCGGAGGCTGTGGGTGGATTCACCCTCTCTTCCCTGACCACACGCATGTGAGGGGCTTCTCCCCATTTCTGGTCGTAAGACGGGAAACGAGCCTTGGCCTTCGGCTCCGGTGGTGACCCAGCAGAACGCCAGGCACCAGGCCACAAGCTGTAGCCCTGACCTTGTTGTCCATGGTGTCCGTAGCCCTGGTCGTTGTCGCGACGCTTCCATGGTGCGTCTGCTCTGGACTTCTTGCCCATGTGCACTAGAACCTTCCTTCGTAGTGATGGGCAAGTGCCGTGGTGCCTCAAAAGGGCACGAAAGCGCAGGTGAGGGACAGATTTGCCCTCCCGGATGGCAGCACGGGTTCGAGAACGTGCTTGCCTCGATCTCCGATGCCAGGATGGCGAAGGCGTCGGAAAAGCGGGAATCACGCACCCTCTATTGGGGTGCTGGGGCCTTCAATTTTCTCCCTCGGGAGCGATTTGGGCCCTGCGCACACACACACACATGCCTGGATCTCATGATCCAGATGGCAGTCGGACTCTTCGACTCTTTGCCTTCTTTCTCATTGTCTTGCTGTCAACTCTAAGTTACGTCCAGGCTCATCCCTACACTGCAAGGCCGATACAATCACTCACATGCTACAAATCTCTCTCAAGCGGATGCAGGCACGTTTCACGAGAGGACAGGTAGATGAGTGCGCGGTCTTCGTTGGCCAGCGCACGCACTCATCTTGCCTGCCTCTCCGCTGGCCCGCTGCCGACTGTGATACATGCAACGACAAACCTAGCCCTTAGTTTCAGGGATGACACACACACACACACACACCCTTTCCAAGGAAAGGGGGAAGTGTTGCAATCACTAAAGCTCATGACACAACACTGTGGCACGGTAAATTGTTTTGTGCTCGCCTTGCACATATCTTCACTTGCACGACAGTGGCAGTCCGAGATGCAGCTGAGCTCCAAACTGAACGTTAAATCAAAAAGTGCTGGCACCACATGCGCATTCCAAGGTGCAGATTAAGCTCCGAACTGAACGTTGTCCAAAAACGCTTGCAGCACACCAGAATTCCAAGGTGCAGACTTAGCTCCAAACTTAGCGTTGAAACAACAGTGCTGGCAAAAGATTTGCATTCCATGGTGCTCCGAACTGAACGTTGACCAAAGACGCTTGCAGCACACCCGTGTTCCAAGGTGCACCACGTTGGCACGCCAAGGTGCATACTAAGCTCCGAACTCAACCTTGACCAAAACACTTGCAACAACTCAGCATTCCAAGATGCTGACTACGCTCCGAACTGAACGTTCAACCACGGACGCTTGCACAACTGCACTCTGCTTTTGACTGATTTTCCTCATTGATATCTCATTGATGCTCAAGAAGAGAAAGCAACCACCTGCAATATTACTTGATCAAAGCACAGCTGAGGCCCAGGCATCGGAGTGCTCTTACGCAACTCACGATTTCTACTACAAAGTACAACTACCTGAGAGCTAGCTGGCTTGGAAGTCAAGATTTCTGCAGAATTTCTGGTCCGACCATCTTCTGTGAAGTCACTGATTGATGTTTAAAGACACCTTTTTTATGGGTCTTTTCAGAATTGTAAATCATCCTTCATGTCCTGAACTTCATTCAGGGAAAATCACACTGAAGAGAACTTAGTTACCAGGGATTGTAGGTAACTGTTGCACTCAGTCCAACAGTAAAAACAAAAGCCACAACAAGACAAGGGGAAACACAATCAACAAACGGAACAAGTACGATCTTTTCATGAAGTTTATCGTCGCTCAATATCACGAGATTCACGAGCCCCGAAGTCTTGCAAAGTCAGGTTCGTGGAGGCTACCCTCCACTCAGCTCGCGCCCACAAGGGAAGGCAATACTGAATCACACTTGCCTGGATCTCATGATCCAGATGGCAGTCGGACTCTTCGACTCTTTGCCTTCTTTCTCATTGTCTTGCTGTCAACTCTAAGTTACGTCCAGGCTCATCCCTACACTGCAAGGCCGATACAATCACTCACATGCTACAAATCTCTCTCAAGCGGATGCAGGCACGTTTCACGAGAGGACAGGTAGATGAGTGCGCGGTCTTCGTTGGCCAGCGCACGCACTCATCTTGCCTGCCTCTCCGCTGGCCCGCTGCCGACTGTGATACATGCAACGACAAACCTAGCCCCTTAGTTTCAGGGATGACACACACACACACACACACTTACTTGACTGCGGCGGGGACAAGACGCATGCCCCCAAACTAAGCACGGCACTTTTTACAATGAGTTCGGCTCCGTGGCGCAGAAGGCTACAGCGGAACCTTCCCTTGCTTTCTTGATGCCAACCAGTATTACTAAGTAAGAGTCAACGAGTTTTGCCGATCCAACGCAGCGGAACTGTAGCAAGAACACGATTTGAGTCGAAAGTGTGCACTGGGCCACAGCAGGAGTTGGTTTACTCTAAATGTAAGAAGCGCATGGCATCACCACAGCGCTTAGTGAGTATGTTGGAAATATCCTTCTTCTAACAGGAAGTTCTCAAGACCGCGATGGTGCCGCGCTTACTCTGCACAGCGCGATCGAGACGGCTGTGAAGGAAGTCGGAGAGGCCTGCAACCGCTAGGTAACATTAGCTAGCCGCTAGAGCACAGCTACGCGAGAGAGTACGGCCCTGCGTGTAGGAGACGAGCCAGCAGCTGCTGCAGCTGAGGGACGCCACCGGCATGCGAGACTTAGCAGAGCTGTCTCTCGGGCTGGTGCGGATGTGAAGCGCAGAGACTCAGTGAAGCAAATGCTTACAAAGCCAAAGCTCTTAATCGTTTTCGTTTGCTCCTCAGCATTGTGCGAGGCAGCACTGTTAGCGACGCTGCGGACTCTACCCACAACGATTACAGACAGCATTGCCCCTGACATCACTTCTTGTGCCTCAAGGATCCCTTGGCGAGATGGATGCCGATCCAAGCGTTCTGCAAGGAAGTGATCCTTAAGCTGCTTCTGTGCATATTTTATTTCCAGAAGCTCCCAACTGCTGCAGTGTCGCTTCATAAGTCAGACTATTATGCAACGTCAGACAGCATTGGCATGCGTACAGGAATAAGTTGCTGGAATGCCTTGTGGGATCTTCTGAAAGCATAAGAAATAAATGTCCATAGTCTGCACTCTTTAGAAGATGCGCATTTCGCTGCGGAGACATTGCAAAATGCAAAATCCTCCCAGAAAACGTCGAAACTTGGCAGCTGTTAATCCGGCAGCGCCACTCGTAATCAACCTTGAGGCAACAACTTCGAGGTCGGACTCTTGGTTCTATGGGTTGACCTGTACAGTACCCACCATTCTGGCCCCTGTCGTCAGCACAGCGTTTGAAAAGGCTTGCGGGTTGTCGGAATTGGTCGAACTTGACTTGGGGAGCCACGAAATGATTTAATGAAATCGCCAGATGTTGTCAAGACGCCGCTAACAAGATGTTGGCAGCTGCCTGCGCGCGCTGGTGACAAGCGAACCTTCAAAGAAACGACCGCAAAGCAAGCTTTGCAGGTTTTCGGTTTTCTTCGGGGGCCATTATCTGAGAACACCATGGGTTGACATAATCTGACAGTTCCTCAACTCAGCTTCGGTTTTTTCTTCGGCGATGGCAGGGGACGGTACACAATACTCGAATGAGGCTTCCTGAATATGATATGTCAGAAACCAACATTGCCAGGATGCTCCGACAGCTGCAAAATTTCCAAGAGTCAGGACAACACCGAAATCGCCGAACCAGAGGTAAACAGCGATAGTAATGCATTTCACAAGCCATGCCCGCCCATTCTATGGGTGTACAAGATTGTATGAGCTTTTACCAGCCGGCTCTTGGAAGGCGTGCGTGGACAAAGACACTCGCAACACCAGCTGGACACCCATGTGTGGGCATCTGTAAACGAAATTCATGTCGTGGTGTGCGGGGACACAAATATGGTGCAAATGCATGCGGTTTTGTGTATGTATATGTGTAGTTGTATATGTGCATCTGTGTATATCAGATATCTGTATATGCATTTGCATATGTACATGTATAACGTGCAGGTATTGTATGTATGTATGTATGTAAGTCTGTAAGTCTGTAAGTATGTACGTATGTACGTATGTAGGTAGGCATGCATGTATGTATCTGAGCAAATAAACACAGAAACACATAGATAAGTATGATATCGACACTGTCGGTCATGACAGTTTGACTTTGGACCACAATTGAGCTTCGGGGCCATGGCTGGTAGAAGGGTGTGAATCTCAGATGACGCAGTGAATATCAAGGACACAGGACGCTTGTGTGTTGCTCTGTGCCGGTAGGTGTTGTTGTCGTCGTCGTCGCTGTCTTTACATGATGCTCGAGGTAAGTATCCTTGGCAAGCGGCTGTCACTGCTACTGTGGCTCCCAACCGTGCTGTGCGTCCGAGACTCGGATCGTGCCTTGCACTGCTCATGGATCTGATCACTTTCGCCTCTCGCCCTGCTGTCGATTCTATCGATATTGCGCACAGCTCGCAACTACTGCGAGGCTTCACCAGACCATGTGGGGGAGGCATGTCTGCAGGCGGTGCAGCATTTGAAGCATGTTAACTAGGCACCAGGCATTTGTTTTCAGCCATTCCCCGCTTCTCGAAGAGCCCACGCCTGCTCATGGTCGTGAAAGTCGAAGTCAGCTGTTCATTGTTCGACCAACGCTGGCGTGGAGCTTCGACATCAGTGAGCAACGAAGCGCTTGGCACATCGACAAAACTGTGAGACCTGGATGGAGGGTCTTGGGTCGACCACATTGCCCCGAAATCTAGCAGTTCAGCCTGTATCACCGAGGAGAAGGGCATTGAAATCACCGAAAGCAAACAAGAGCCGAGAAGCCACGATGTCTTCGACATGAAAGAGCGTTTGAGGTCCAAGTCCCACACAAGCAGGAGGCACTTTAGGAGGAGATTACGGACGGAACCCCAGAATCCGCACGGCACTGCGGCGGACACGTATCGGACTGTCGCACGGCAGATCATGGCACCGCGGGAGGTCGGGGCAGACCAGACCAAGGAGCCCCGAGGAGCAAACGACGTGGCCTGGTAAGGACCGTGGTGACTGTGATTCCGTGACAAGCGCGATAGTATCAATGACGTCGGCATGACAGCGGACAGGATCGCAGCGCGGACAAGTCGTTTAAGCTGTGCACCTCGCCACTTCTGTGGGACCAGATGCACCTCGCACAGACGACAGGTGACAGGTGTGCCCTCAGAACAGGCGCTGAGGTCTGCAATCAAGGGCTTCAAAGAACGCCCACCGGTCGCGTTCAACACTCTGTAATTACACAGCAATCACAAGCTAGTCGACCTGCAGACGACTTTGGGGTTTTCAACGAAAGCGCTACGAGGCTAGGTTTATGCCATTGCATGACGAATGTGAGGGAAATTCGATACAACCTTGTTACAACGAGCGCGTCCAACACAGCGTCGTCGGCGCGAACTTGCGCAATCCATAATTCCAACCGAAGCTCAATTGCGATGTCGTGCTTACGTGTTTGTTTCCAAATTCGGAAAGGTACGATGCGAATTCAAACTGCTTCGACATCACTTCCATGTCATGATGAACCTAAAGCACCTGACGTGGAAGCCTCGGGGAGACTGCAGATTGCAACTATTCGCATCACTTGACAAATTTCAGTTTTGGCCCCCACGCCAAAACCGTAGGACATCGATGCAGCGAGTTTGTCAAAGACAGAGTGCCCGCAACGAAACCTTGACAGAATCCATGCAGCCACTGCTTGAACGCCTGTCCATGTCGAAACCCTAGGGATTGTATCTTTTGAGGCTTCGATGCTTCCCCAAGAAGCAAGACCATTGCCGTCCTGCTTACGCCTCAACTCCTCTATTTCATCGGAAGGATCCAATTTGCGCGATTTCCCCGTCACCAGGTCGCCCCGAATACGGCCAATGCTTGATTGACTTCTGCTTACATGATGCGAACCTCAAAGCAATAATTTCGAACTGACTCCCGCGATTTTCGTTTGCGTAGGAGAAAAAAGGCCGAAGCCGCAACTATGACTTGATTTTGACGTTAGTGTTGTCTCTAAAGAAAATGGCCAGATGGCTTCTCGTCCAGCGATTCGGTCGACGTCGCGCTGCGGGTCGCGCTTTTGCGCCGGAGTATCTCAAGCCGTGGGCCGTGTTTGTTTCTCGTGAAGCCTGGTTTGTTCAAGCTTCTTTGCAGCTGGATCTTGCAACCTGTTTTGTTTGTTGGTGCTAATGGAAACGCTTGGCAGTGTCACGCAGCTTCGCAACTAGAACTAGGAGTGTCAGAATTCTGTCATGGCAGGCATGTGGAAACTTCACGGGCTGGTGTGCCTGGTGCGGTGCGGGAAGTGTGCCGAGCCGAGTGAAGAGCCTGAGTCATACCAGCACAGAAAGCAACAATTATCAACAAATGAGGCCTGCTGCAGACCAGGCTACGGCCCAGAGGAGAGCTCGGAGTGAGAAATCTTATGAATCTTGAATCAGCTTGAAAGCTTTGAGGAGTGCTTAACTGCGCCACCCAACGCTGGTTCCTCCGAGAGTCACCAGTGCATCGTTCCCTCAAAGCAGGCAGGCCATCTCGCAGTAGACGAGCTTGGACAGTGCTTTAGACCAGTGAGGCGAAGTTCAAAGCCCCATGAGTTGCAGTCTTGGCTGCTCGCGCCAGGCCCTCGAATCCCTTGCAGTGGCCTCGACCTGAGCTGCCTGCATCCAGTCTTAGAGTCTCTGGCAGTGTGGCTACCGACGGATGTGGTCGGAAAAAAATTATCCGCAGACGCGAAGGTCGGTGACCCCCTTTCAGGCCGTCCCAAACGATGTGAAATTGTTGTAACATAGTAGCGTCTGCACAGGAAGTCGTACTAGCAGAGTCGAAGAGCTAGTCACTCCGACAACATGCCTCAATGCGGAGTCACGTGGTTGATGAGCTTGGTGTTTGCACCTGCAGAGGTCTCCTTCACCTTTGACCTACAAGGACTCTTCTATGCTGCCGTCCAAGCGCACTTCCTGCAAGTTTGCATGTTGGTTTCTGCACTCCGACTGCTCCTGAAGTCCAGCGCAAAGCGGTTGCATCTGCCCTCATTAACTACGTGCCAGGAAAGACTCTCTGAAGCAGGACCTGATCCTGCGGAGCAAGGCGCTTCCTGGCAAAGCCGAGAGTGTTCAAAGGGTCGCGAATGCGGCAAGTTCGGCGACCTCATGACTCGCTCTACTCAGATCATCTCAAATCTCGTATCCTAGGCACATTTCGACATGCAAGTTCTCTGCATGGAATGTGTTGTCCCGTTCTCCGAACCTGCACAGGAGATCGCGAACAAGATCATGTTGAATACTTCACAGCCACATCAGATGGCGATGGCTTTCAGCAGAGGCCCCTCTGGCGGGTCCAGCTAAAGGTCACAATATGCCTTCCTGACTTGCTGATTCGCGAGGTTCAAGAGGCTTTGCGCGGGTGCAGATGACCATAATGGAGCCTTTGCTGACTTGCATCAAGACCTTTTACCTCCCATTATCGCCGCACTTGCTTGAGACATGCGAGCAGCCGATGGTCATGTGACATTCATGTGGCCGGCGTGTGAACTCTTGAGCGCCAGATTCCCCGTGGCGGTGAAGCCGTCGTGTCCTTCGCAGAGAACAGGTTGCTGAGGCTAAAGAGTTTCAAGTGCTGGGATGCATAGGCCCAGTGCATGTGTGGAATCCAAGGCTGTGCAGTATGCCGTCCGTAGCCAAATTCAATGCAGATGTGAGGAGCTTAGGCCCTAGGCCCTGCGGTGGCAGTGCGTGTGCCGTGTTCCACGTCCCAATGCTCAAGAGGCTCAGAACCTCGATGGCGTTAAATTTGGCGAGGAAGGCGGCACGGTAGAAATCATGCCACTCGGCTTCGTCACGAATTGGCAGAACGGCCAACTCAAAGTTTGTCGCAGCCATCTAAACTCGCGAAGTTCCAAGGATCACGAATCGCAAAGTAACTGACGGCAAAGACTGTCCGACCGCCAGATCCCAAGTGACCTGAGGTTAGAAAGGAGGCCCTTATCAAACCCACGACCCAGGATCCTGCCTCCATGTCCTTGCGGCGGCGGCATATGCAGGGACAGGCACAGGCAGGGCACCAGCACCTTGACCCAGCCACCAGCCGGGTCCTTCCTCCGGACAGGTGTGGCTGCCGTGGCTGGCGACTGGCCTCTTTGGAGGTAAGTCGGGAGCTGTAGCCTTTGCTAGTAGGGAGCTGCGCTTCGTGATTGGAGCGCTTGAAGTCGCTTCCAGCTTGACCGCCTCTGACATCGACCAACCGCAACTCTATCGCACACGAAGACAGTGCGTCTGCGGCTAGAACAGGGGAGAAGGATGTCTGTCATTCAATGGCGAATTCTGCCCCGGAGGGTAGCTTTCGGCAGGACACCGGCAGTCTCGACTTACTGTACCTTGCCGCTTCACCGTGCTGAAACTACAGCTGAAAAGCTGCTTTTCTGGTAGCAGCTACGTAATTGTCTTCATGGTCGTAGAGTCGCCCAGAAACCATCAGGGGGTTTTGCCACCACATGCCGCCACCCCGGGTTCTGTCCCACCAAATCGGGTGCTATAGCACTTTACGACCATTGGCCAGGTAGCTTTGCATCTGTCCACGCGCTGCATCAATCGCCGGCTTCCTCCCCTTGACCCACTGCGTGGGCGAGGTATGGCACAGACCGCACGCGGCAGCGGTTTAACAATGAAGCACCCGTGGACGCAGCGGGAGCCTTTTGACAATGGGGAGCGGCATGTTCCTTCTTTAGTGCAGATGCAACCTCGCTGCTGGCTCCGGATGCAGTTGAGACTGCCGCGAATGTTCTGTCTGGATTAAGCTGTAGCAGGAAAAATACAGAACACAAAGAAACACTCCACGAAGGTCTGGTAGAATCGTATTGGACAAGCTACTCCGGCTTCAACGTGCAAGAAAGGTCGCATAGCTGTTGTTTTGGCTCATTTTTCCATCGTTCGATCGCCGCTCATCATTGTCGGATGGTTTGGGAGCAAAGCGCAGCAGCTTTTCTCGTCCATGCATTGCCGCTGCCTGGCAGCCAGGATCATGCCTGACATGCGCGCTGTTGAGTGCCGGCCTTACAGATTGGACTCGACTTCAGAGTGCGCTCGCACTTGGAGCATGGTGCAGATTGCTTGGCCGAGGCCTGTGCAATGATCATTGCAAGCAGAAGCCCGTGCGCGTGCAGGGCTCAGGGAGTTGGCGATACATGTGCGACTGTTCTGCCGCGGTTCCGCCTACTCGGACGTGTTGTGCAGGGTAGCGCTCGCCGGCACCCAGACGAAGGCACTGCGCAGATCCCCTTGGGCAATGTGGTACTGGTGGTACTGTAAGAGGCACTCCTCAGGTGTGATCCCTCCGTCGGTGGAAGACCAACGCTGCAACTGCCCCAAGTCGGTACAACAATCTGAGTAATAGCGAGTAGCGAGTTGGGACTAGCGACTATAGTGGTAGGACATGACAGCTGTCGGATCTGTCCATTTAGTGCCACAATCGATCTTCGAAAATGCTTGGGAGAAGGCTGAAGGCTTTCCACGTCTGCGGTCGTCAGTGTTCCATTGAAGCCCCAAGTAGAGGTGCGCCGAGGTATCGTTGCCGGCCGCTCAAGTCTTGGGGCATACAAGCTGTGGAGTCTGATTCGTCGAGTGGTGAAACTGAGCTCTTGTTTCGCTTACTGTCATGGTTGCTTGTCATTGCATGTTTTGTATCAGGCCCTCTTTGTGGTTGAATTTGTTGTGATCGTAGCGGATGCAGCCGCACGGCATCTTGAGTTGACAGATGCTGAGACAAAATTCGTCGGCGGTCAGCTCCTGTGCGAGACGGACTCTGGACAGTGAGGTCAAGATCTCCATGCCCCTGCAAGAGTTTGTAACGCGGAGATCCACGTGATTCTACAGTTTCTCGAGGGTCGCATAGCGGGGGGGCGTCGAATGTTTGAGGGCTCAAGCAACAACCCCTCAAGGGTTGCGACTTCGGTTGACAGAGCTGCCAGGCAAACCGCAAGTGCCTCGGCTGCACATGTTTGGCTTATGAGTTACGGCGGGGCGTGCTGCTCTGTAGAATCTGTTGCAGGGCACGTATCGCAGCATCGCATGCGCATTTCGTAGGATTTCTGGGTGCGGGCGACGGGGAGTAAGTTTCAATCCGCGGTTTGCAGACCACATCTTTGCTAGCCCATATTAAGCTAGATCCCAGCCCAAACAGCTCGAAACACTGATTCATGGCAGGTCTCTTGGAAGGATTCGTTTCAGCAGGAGGTGTGGCTGCATAGCGTCGCCTGCACTGTGCTCGTAGAAACGTTCGTCATGTTGGGCCGTGGTATCATTCGCTTGTCAGGGGACCTTCATGCCTCTGAGGGGCTTCATGGGTCCGCAGGCAGGAGCTACCAAGCAGGGACTCTGCGCCGATTGGGACTTGACGATGCTTAAAAACATCCTAAAAGCCTAAGCGCCAGGAATCCAGTGCCTTTTCCTCTTCTTTAGGCCGGATCGGATTTTCAGCGTGACAGTGCCAGCTGCAGCCAAGAGCAATTGTTTCGTAGGGAGCGCCCAGTTCTCCTCGGGGACTTACCAGCAAGGATCAGCAGCTTTCCCAGCGACGGCTTGCGTTGATTCTTGCGAGCGACTCCCCCGACTTAGGTGGCGAGCTGGCCAACGGCAACTTACAAATAGTGCAGCGGCCAGATGTGCCTGCAAAGCCAGGTTCGTTTAGAAGTTGAAAAAAAGCAGAAAGATCGATTAAGCGGTTTAGGGTTTAGGGGCGTTTAGGGTTCATGGTTAGAGTCTTCGGGCGTGGCAGCAACCCGGCAATCCGCAGCAGCTCGTGAAGGCGGTCCTGCTTGCGCGCAGGCTCGAAGAGGTTGCTGCAGGTTGCTAGCACAGGGTAAAGCGCTGATGTCACAGCCGACTGCCGCACGGCCATGCACGGCCGCATGTTTGAGCCCGACCGTAACACACACATTCGCAGCAGTGTCACACCAACGAAACCGACGTTTGTTTTCTCGCGAGTCTCAAGTACAAGGCCCTAATTAGGCCACTGCTCAACAGTTGGCTTAGCATCGTCTTTGTCATTGCAGGTGGGCATCATTCACATCAATATTCATATAGTCATTCATGCATGGGCGCTCGACAGATGACCTGGAGTCTGCTGACTCTCAACAGTCTCAACACGAGACACAGCCGCAGCCGCCAGAGAAGTGCTGAATTTCTCATCTCACGACAAACCCAGAATCCAGGTCCTTCGCACAGGTGGAGTCTTCGGGGCCATCCTTTGTAGACGCAGGCGGGGGCGGCGGGGGTGGGGACGCAGACTTTGAGAGCCTTTTGTAAAAGCACGGCTCGACTTTCTCTCGGCCCCGGCTCTTGAGGCGAGTCCCAGTGCAACTCCGTGCTCGCCGAAAGCCGCAGCGGTTCCGTGATCGACAGGAGACCACGGCCGCCCGTTTGCCCGTGCCCCCATGCCCAACTCTCTGAGATGCGCGCTTCTTTTCTGAGGACAGAGCCCGAGTCCACTGGGACGCTGCCCTGTGGACCGGACGCATCGCAGGAGAATCACGAAGGCACGCCAGTGCCAGAGGAGCTTTCGGCCAAGCTCTTGGCGCCTTCGGCTTCGCCTGCAGGCTCCGATTCACTGCCCTCACCGTCGCATTTGCCATCGCGGCTTCCGCCCTCGATTGAAAAGGACGGCCAAAATCTCTTCCTCGAAACTACAAATTGCCATGCTCCCAGGAGATAAACGAGCTTCTGGAAAAGCAGGGTGCTGCCGACATCTCATCGCAAGACAGCATCGAGCAGCCGCTGAGCAATGAGGTGCAACATCTCAACGGTCCCCAAGACGGGATAGGATTGGCACATACTTCTATGAGCATAGCACGCGAGATGGTGCCGATCAGTACAGCTATGTGGGCAGAGCACCTTTGAGTGTGCACAGGTGCAATCACGACGCCATGACACAAGCCTAACTTACCGTGAGCAACGAACCTGCTGCCGGTTGTTATAGAGTCGCGCAGGCAAGCAGACGGTAGGTGAGGGCTTCTGGCGAACCAGCAGTAGCAAAATCATTCCAACAGCCGAGCACATTCCGTAACGGGAACCCGTAACAGGAACGGAGCCCAACACCGTAACAGCAACCGGCCGGTTGCCGTAACAGCTCGCAGGCAGGCCTTCGTAACATGAACTGGGGGGAAGGGCTCCGAGACTGACTTCCACAGCCAACATCTTTTCTTGGCTCCGCAATTCTCCCCAACTCGGACGCTTTCCGAACCTACATTTCCAGCATGCCTTATTCAGCTCTAGCCATCAGAAACTCACGACTAAGTTGCTTTGGGCATATCAACTGTAGCAGCGGGCCTTCAATCCTGAACCATTCTTCGACACGTTAAAAGCCTCTGTATTGCCACTGCCATCCTATATCCCAAACCGTGAATCCTGTTGAACCCTAAACTCTATATGCCCCGCACAAAGAAACAAAGGCGCGAGCATAAGACCTTAATGGTCGCAAAGTAGGGGACCGAAAACTCGTCCCCCAGAGGAAGAGTTGCAACATAGTTTCCGCTGTTTGACTTTCCATTCCGTTACGGTGTGCAATTGAACCACCCTGCACTAGTCTTGAAATCCCACAGCAGCAATAATGGCAGCTCTTGCTGTCTACATCCGATTTGAGTGGTCCGAGGTGCATACATCGCAGCGCATGCCTTTTGCCGCACCAAAGCGACCCGACATGGTGTTGGGGCCCCGGCACGAAGAGGCGGCTGGTTGCGCTTGTGTGCAGAGACTGAGGTATTTCCTCACACTGCAGGAGCAGCGACTGGCACTGGCGGCCCTGGCGGCTGAGGAGCAGCCGCCAGGGCCGCGTGAGCCGCGTGAGCCGAGCCCGGCCAGCCCCAGACCGTCCAGACGGCCGCGAGCGGAGCCTCGTTACGAGCTGCCGCCCGGTCGCAAGCTGCCGCAAGGGCCGCGAGTCGTCTGCCCAAACCGAGGGATGCGCACTGCTGCCTCCAAGAAGCCAGAATTGCCTCGGAGGTGCGCGGGGAGATTGTCCATAGACCATACAGGTTATGGTCAAAGACGTCGGTAGGAGATGTACGGAGCGAGAAGCATCCCGCTGTCTTCTCTGTCTTGCGGTGGCTCTCTGGGTCTTGCAAGGCTTTCTGTGGCTGGACATTTGCAAGTCCTCGCCGGCAGGTTTTAGGCTTCAGTTGATGCTGCATGACTGTGAGGTGAACCCCAGCAGTGACACCAGACACTTTTTTACCGGCTGCAACTCTGTGAAAAGACTACAGCGGAAAACGCGGTCATCTCCTGCAAGTCCCTCACATGCCCGCGGGAGACTGCCGGTAACTCTTGAACTCCAATGCGGTGAAGTGCCATTTTCACACGGACCCCTTTTGTGATCCGCTTCGGCATCCGCGCAGGTGGCCTGGCAGTTCCAGAAGGGTGGAAGCAGCCCATCAGCCACCACACGAGCTGAATCCTCAAGGGCCTCAAGGGCCTCAAGCCTCGTTTCGAGTTCGGGCACGCCAAGAAAGCTGAGGAGTCGAAACATGCGCGCAACTTGCATCGGCCTCAATGTTGGCACAGAAGGTGATGCAGGTTGTTACATGGCTTGGGCATCAAAGGCACCAGACTTTCGGAGTATTCTGGAGTCTTCGCTGACCGGACGCACACACGACCACACTCTAAACTCTAGCCCTGGATGCCACGAACCCGACGTGGGGATGTCAAGGCCCTTGGGGCCAGCAGCATGCGGACCATGCATGCGCGCATTTGCCCGTGTGTGCATGAGAAAAATCAACAGGAAGGGAGAACCCAGTGCGGGCATGCGCACGGGGAGGGGGGGGGGGGGGCTGTCAGTTGGCTGTCGCTACTTAGCCGCTACTTCCCTCGGCTGTGCGGAAGAATGGAGAGAGATTCGGGTGCTCTTCTCACTTCGTGCGCAAGAAAGTGACGACTGCACTACACTCTGTTTAAATTAAAGCGCATCCACATATCACGACACGTTCGCTGCTGCCGACAACGCTGCAGCCTCTCGTCGGTGTTCCGCACCGGTCCCACATGGCAGAAATGCTCGCTCTCCTCATCTCTCCTCATCTCTCCTCATCTCTCCTCGCTGCTCCAAGGCCCAGTGTGCCGCCCCTGCAGTGGCACGAGGTTGGAGACCGGACTTTGGGCTCGACTTGTCGTCATACGCAAGTGCAAAGGCTCGCTCTTGGAGCCCGCTAAGAGGTTTGAAAACACCTGGAGGCTCGTCGGAGTCGTCGGAGCTGGGATGATTTGGGTCCCGCGCATTCGCGTCCTTCTCAGGCACGGCCTCGACCTGGATGGGCTCAGAGCCACCGGGCACCGCCGGGACGGCCTCGAGCGCTGCCAGTGCCTCTGAGGAGGCACGAACAGCGAAGTTCGCAGTGCGGTTTCCTGGAAGGGGCATTTGGGCAATAAAAAGCGGGATGCGCTGCTGATATCATTTTGACGTTTCGAGGGGTGTTTGGAGTCTTTGGAGAAGGTTGAAGGGCCTCAAGACCATGCCAGGCGGCCGTGTCACCGCGTTTGGGCAGCAAGAAAGGCGCCTCGGACCAAGATGGGAGCAATGAAGGGCCGCCATGGGCGATTTTGAGGCGTAGCTCGGCCTCGCTCGGGAGTTCGGCCAGTTCTCATCTTCCCCATAAAAAAGGTGCAAGAGCGAAAAGAGCCCGCAAGGGTCGCAAGCTTTTCCTTCGCGCACCCTGTGCATTGAAGGACAGGGACGGCCCGGAGCTGCGATTGCCGGAGAACCGACCGAGACAAGATGCGGCATGCCTAGCCATCACAGGTGAAAGGTGATACGCTGTTCTCAAGCGTGGAGCAGCATGCAGCACCATGCTGAGGCCTTCACACAGCGACAAAGAAGAACGAACTCGCCAAAGCAAGGTCGGGATAATTACTTTCGTTGTCGCAGGTTCCAAGGTCAGAAACAGGGGGGTCATAAAGTTTGCGTAGTGTTTCGCGACAAGGTTAAGAAAAGCGAGTGCTGCAGCTAAGGTTGCATAAACATTTATGTTACCGTTCATCTTACCTACTACTGTAGTGTAGTTCTTTGCCCAGTTGCTTCCCGCTAGACTTGTGCTTGTGGTCGAGTCATGCTCTGACCTCCGGGCTCCAATCCGTTGTAGGGAAGCGCCTTGTCTCGTTGGTCTCGTTGTGTCATCTGCATGGCCCCGAAAGGCCGTGCTGGCCGAAGAGTTCGATGGCTGCCTCCGCTGCGCCAACTCTCAGCACCCCAGTCCAGCACCTTGGCGGCAGAGCCCCGCATGCGTCGCACTCTGCGCGGTGACTTCGTGTGCTCACTGCCGCAGAGAGGCGTGCTGCCAGACTCGCCGCGGCGTCGTGCTCGGTGCGTCGCCGGCGTGGCCCAGGCCCGGGATGCCCCCGGGGGATGCCCGGTTGTTTGAGTGGCCGAAAGTTACTGCAAGTTCTCGTCTCGCGAGGTTGATGCTTGACCCGTGGTAAATTGCTCCCCGTTTCACTTTCAGACCTCGCGCGGCGCCACAGCGTCTCTTATTGTCTGTTGAGCTCAGCTCAAATTACTCTGCAGATGCAGCGTCCAGCCTGCCACCTGCAGCAGCTTTTCCAACAGAGGGGATCAACATGGTCCTGGGCTCCAAGTAATCCTTCCAGCCAGAAGGTGCTGGCAATGCATGAACATGATTTCGATGATCATGGAACGCTGAAGTACAACTGCACACAGGTCATCACATGCCGTCAGTACTGGGTTGAATCAGGTGCAGCTTGCCGCATACCGCAGGGCTTAACTTTTTTATGCCTGCAACATCCTGCAACTCCAAAGCAAGGTTCGACGCTGACCTTTCCTGGGACATCCATGCGTCAAACGCAGTCCTTGGCAAGTCCCGCGGAGAAGCTCGAAGCCAACAGCGACTGAAAATCCATGCCGTTGCCTGCCGTCCGAAGCAAAGCGCCCAGAGGCATTGCAGCACGAGACCATCGTTGGATCGAACCTGCAAGCTTCTCTTTCATTCATGGAGAGTTGAAGTCCGAAGAAAGACTTCGGCTGCGAGCCGGCGATAGCATCGCAAGTTCATACCATGTTCAAGAGAGCAGATGGTCGACCCGTTGCTGATTCTTTCTCAAGTGTTCGTTGGTGATGGTGGCAGGGATGGGCCAAAAATGCATCATGACTTGCAGTGGGTCACATATGGCGGCACAGTTGCTGTCCCACAGGCAGCAGTATATAGGATCTGGGTCGGGCAGCACCAAACAGAAAATTCGCTGTGCTCGGCCCAAAAACAAAAAAATCGGTCAGCAAATTGAGGTTGTGACTCTTCGCAGTAGCTAGATACCACTACCACAGGCGAAACTAGAAATTTGGAAAGCTGGCAGTGGCTAGCAAATGGCTGGCCTTCCAGCCGGCTGTGAAATCCTTGGGGCGTGAACCTCAGACAAGTCCCTCTCTCTCTCTGTCTCTCTCAACCCTCTTTCTCTCTCCCTGTCTCTCGCGCGATCGGACTCTCTCTCTCTCTCTCTCTTTCTCTGTGTTGCCTGTAGGGCATGACCTGCTGCTTCTGCCGAGGCCGTAAAAATCAAGGATGGGTTTAAGCCTCAGCTGGCATCGCGAAAATCTTGTGTTGCATGCGTCCATCTGTTGTGCCAGGCTCTTCGTCGGTGATGAACTCGCAGCTCAAGATTTGGAGCTTTGAGCTTGCATCGGGACTGAACACCGGAAGGTTTAATCAAACTGTCTTTGCCTTCCGAGGTTTGTAGTTGCCAACAAGGTGACACGAGTCATCAACTGCGCTGGGCGACAGGCCCAGCAGCGCACAACGACTCTGCATGTGCCGTTTCGTCCATACTGTTGCATAGTCGTAGTATCTTGTCGCAGGTCCCGAACCATTGGGAAAGCATCGGTGTAGCGTATCTGACCTATTACTGGATAGTGCGGGCCTTACAGTATCGGGGCCTGTTCGTGATGCCATTGCAAGCAAACGGAGTGCACAACGGCTCGCATCTCCCGCAGGATGCCGATAGCCAAGTTATTCTCGATCAACGTGTGAGACCCAGTAAACCGAAATGCATGTTGTAGACATCCAATCCAATTGCCATAGGAGACCATTGATTGAGGAACAGACTTAATGATTTGGGCTAGCCGTGCGATCCATGGCACCCGGCCATGTGTCCAGGAAGCTTGAACCTACCCGGCATGAAGCAGAATGCCGTTCGAGGTTGCTCCATGCAGCCTTCTGCAGCTGCAGTCACTGTAACCGGACGATGCAGAAGTTTTCCTTTTGCCTCGGTTTGTCCCGCTGCTGCCTTTGCAGATCCGTGCTGCCCTTCGCAGTATGACAGTCACATGTGGGGATGTTCGCTTCGCTCAGTGCCGTTCGAGATTGAAGGAGAATTCGATTTCGCTCTGTCAGTTCGTTCCCTCGTCTGGAGAACGACCGTGCTATTGCATCGCATGCTCCGGCAAGTCCCATGCCTGCCAACACGGACACTCACCGTTTCGGCACTGCTTGCGTGACTTCGCCAGCTGCTTCTGCCAAACAAGCCGTCGTAAGGTTCTTGCCGACCAACCCGATGAGTCCGCCCTGCCAAGCACATCGTACACACAGTTTCCTGCCATGAGAAATTCAAGCAGAGGGTGGTGTTGCTGCTGCAGTTCTCAAAGATTTCTCTGCTTGAATGTCCAGCGGCAGCAACCCAGTCAGTATGTCCAGTTGCCTGAAGTTGCCTTGTTGCGCGTGGTCAGACGGCGAGCCTTTTGCGCTTGGAGTTCGTACACATCTCCCGGCTACGTGCAGTCAGGTCATGCCTGCGCCGCATGATGCCAAAGCGACGCCATAGCGGCTCATGGTTCACCCTGCGGGTTCACGGCTTGCTCGGAAGCACTAAATGGATTGGTTTGTGTGGCACCACGCGATGCATTTCTTGGGCTTACGACTGGGCTGACATTCTGCGCCGTTCCTATGGCCGCCCGTGCTCGATCAGACTGGCGCCTGGTGAAGATCCACACTGCTTTGGTGAAGCTCCACAGAATCCTCTCTTTCTTTCCTTGCCCCTCGCGCCAACTCCTTAAGCGGACACCCATCGTCTGCTGTCTCCGTCCCCTGCCCTAGCGGTGGCGGTATCAGGCAATGGCTCCTGGCACTCCGACCTCCTCGGTGCTAACGGCGAAGATCCCCATTTGGATCGTCAGTCTCGACAGTTCCTGACCTTTTGACAGCACTGGAAATATCATTTATGCGTGGCAAACACTTGCAGATCGCGATATGAGTTTGGGACATGTGGTGATGCCGACTGAGCTTTACGCTCATGAGTTTGACCATCATCACTATATGTCAGCAGAGAGTCGATTTCCCAGTCTGCAACTCGGATGGAGGGTTTGCGATGCCTGGCGGCAACCCCCCCACAAGTGGCCACAAGTTTCTCTGCCGGTCGCCGTAGCGCTTTATGGCAGTGGGCAGAGGTCCACAAAATTACTTGACCGTGAGCTCGCAAGAAGCGTTGCGATTGCTCGTTTGTTTCGCAGGGGACGCGAGACGCGCGGCGTAGGTTTCGCGAGAGCCAGCTGCTTTGACGAGCTCCCGCCACCCGTGCGGACGCCTAACCGCAGAAGCAAATGCACATGCATGCGCACGCTCATATCGGTGCGGCAGCTCGTGCGTGTCGAGCGCGCGCGAGGTGGCCGTCGTGCGACCACAGCTTCACCCAGCCGCACTGACACAAGTGGGATCCTGACAGCGATCCTCCTCTGCGCACGCACCTACGATGTTTACGTGACTTTGCGCTGCGAGCGGCGACCGAAGCCGACCCGTGGACGACATTGCCGCGCATAGAGCAGCGCAGACAGTAGTACTAGTGAGGATGAGCAGTCGTGCGTGGGGCACGGAGTGCCGCAAGGGGAGGGCGGCAAGCAAGGAGACCCTCACGCCAGGTCTGAACACCTCGGACGGCATGCAGCTCTTCCCACTCTGGCATCGGACATGTCTAGTTGCTCGCACGCTTGCCGTCACTCCAGGACTTGTGGTGCTCATGGTTATGCGCTGGCATGCACAACTACCCGGTGACAAAGGCTTGCCACAGTCGACAGCCGATACCCAACCGGTCCATCCCACGTGGCTCAACGAAACGACGGCAAACCTACACTTACCTGCTCCGCTGCGCGATATCCAGCTCTCTCTCGATGCCGCTGCTCAGTGGGTTAAATCCTAGTGTACTCATGTTGCTGCAGGTCCGCAACATCCGCCGTTATGTGTTTCGGGCGGCCGAGCCGAAAAATTTCCGTGATTTCCATGTGGGGAGTTTGGCATTGCCTGTAGTAGAATCGAGCAAGTATCTGGGTAATATGCTCCAAGACAACTCAGGTTTGCGGCCACATGTTGACAGCCTAACTCTGGCAACACACCAGTTACAAACGATCGGCGACGGCAATTAAGGGCAAATTTGGTCGGATCACTCCACCAAAGCTGCGGGAACAAAAACAAGGACAATCACATTAACGCCAACAACATAGAAACAAACGCGCCGAAGCCGACGCTTAACATCTCATTCTCGGAACTTCGCCCAACATTCTCACGAACGCACATGTTTTCCTTGCCGCCCAGCTCTCGTGCATTGAGAAGCTTTCATGCAAGGCCGCATGCCGACCGCCATACCTTGCGAAAGCGCTGGCCAAACGTGCCAAACCAGGTGCAATCGCGGCGGACGGGCAGCGATGCCAGCGTCCAGGCCTGCAGGGCCTCGGTAGGAAGCCTCCAAAGCACTCTTGCAGTCACCATTGTTTACCGAATGGCCTGGTCGCATTAAAGAAATTATAGCACATATTCGAAGAGGGGGAGTGTTTCCAAAGGTGTGGTTCGTGGGCGGAGACGAGCAGAACACCAGTACATGGTCCAGCAAAAGCAGTGTTCCTACTAGATCCGTGCGTCGGCCCATGCTGACTTTGTGCTGAGTCAGAATTTTTGATCGGGCAAACGCGGATGGGTGCTCGAGAATAACGCCGGCTCCCGTACTTGTCTTCGGGTCAACACACCGCTATGACCAAGATCGCGGTGCTCCAGCCACACAGCTTTGTGTGAACAGGCCGCAAAGTCCGGACACTTTGCGCTGCAGCACACGAGAATGTGCCCACAACAACCTAATTTACGCAAAGACGAGCAGTCTGCAATCAGAGCCCTCGCACGCCAGACAAGTGCAAAGAAACACATTGACACAGAAATGTAGACCCAAAAGGCCAACCCCAGCAAAGACCCTGCCGGATCGCTCTTGTCGCCCGCTGGACACAACTAAGCCTGTGGTCCAGGCTCCTACCGTAGCGGTAGGTAGCAGCTCGGCTAAGTGGGCATACACGGCTTTCCTTGAGTTTTTTCTTGGCCGGCGAGCTTTGGGTGGGCACCGAGCATGACCTCCACGAGATTTGCGTTCGCAGGAGGACGTCGGTGCAAGCCATGCTAGCGCTAGGTATTTTGTATTGCTGCCCATAATG